GCAGGAGTTAGGCAGATGCCTCACCCCAGCTCATCTCCCAAAGAGCAATCGTGCTGCCTCATCCTGGCCTCAGGTCTGGTATGAAATGCTCTGCCCTTGCCTCTGCAGTGGCCCACCTGAGCTGAGCCACGGCAGGCTGACCCTGAGAGCTTTCTGTACTCTCTGAGTCTGCAGTGAGGACTGCTACCAGCAGATCCAGGTGCAGGAGTAAAAGAGGCAAGGGTGGAGATTCTCTGCTTCTCTTCCTGCCCAAAGGCAGCCTGGCTAAGGCCTCCCATCAAGGGCATCTGCCAACGCCTTCCTTGCAGCATCAGCTGTGGGAGTTTGATCAGCAGCTCTCTCCCTTGGGCCTAAGGATGCTGAACGCCCCCGACCCGTACTATCCCTTCGAGGCATCTCTCAGCCCTGCCTGTACCTTGTGAACAATTCTTCAGTCTCCCTCATTTATCCCTTCTAAGTGTGCCATCTTTTCTATTCAGATCCAAATTGTGAAGAGGTCCTACATTTCTAGCTTTGACCAAGCTGGAAAGAGCACTAACAGCTTCACCAGCCTGGCCTCCCTCTTTCCCTAGAATTCCTTGAGGCAGGAGAGTGTGGATGCTGAAGAAAACGGCGCTGGGAACTAGTGTTGGTCTGTCCAAGACAGTTACATCCATCATTGCTGATCTAGCTCTGTACTGTTACCCTGGTCAAGGGCAACTCTCTGACTACAGAGAGCCTGCTCTAAGCTTGAGGAGGGGCTCCTTGCAGTTAGAATCTGTGAGCCAATTTCACACTCCCCTTGATCTTTCTTTGCAACTTCCTCCTCTGACACATGCGTGTCCGCCTTCAATATTCTAGATCTTCCAGCCCAGATGAGCCAGATGATCCTGTGTATCCATACACACAGAAAGCACATGCACACACAGACGCACCATACAAGTGCATACACCCATACATTCCTGTAGTCGCACATGTGCACACGTGTCCAGGCAAGCTTAGCCCACACCTGCCAACAACAGCACAAGCCCAGCCCTTATGAAGTACAGTGCTCCAGGAAATACCTGCCCTCAGGAAGCACAAGACCCATCCCTACACGTGCTTCACCCGACATGGACAAGAGAAAACAGATTTAGTATTTTCTATTGTCTTAAAATGGATCAGCAAAAAAGCCCCCAGAGATCCCTGAGACAAGTGTCCCTGCAAACACGATTCACTACAATTTGTGAAACACAGCAACTAAAGGGACCTGTCAAAATTACATTATACGGACTGAACGTATTCTATGTGTATATTTAGGCATACACACACACACACACACACACACACTCATACACACACACACACACACACTCATACACACACACACACACACACACACATACACACACACACACCCCACAACAACAACTGATGAAAAAGAGGCCATGAATTTGAAACAAACAAAAAACAAGGAGGGGTGGTACATGGAAGTGTTTGGAGGGAAGAAAGGGAAGAGGGGAATGATTTAATTATAATCAAAAAATTATTTTTGAAAGGCACTACATAAATAATAATAGATGAATAGATAGCAGGTGACAAGTGGTCACAGGTGGAGGAGAGATCTAAGGTTGATGGCCTTATGATGTATGTTTGATAGATAAGAGATAAATGCATAGATACATGGGTAGACCAGAGATAGATTTAATTAGCTCTACAGAACACATGTCCAAATAACACTAAACCAATCAATGAGTTTCCTTTCGCAAATCCTTCAGAGAGATGGGCTCAAGGTCAGTCACATAGTAGTTAACAGCAAAATTAGGACTAGAAACCCAGCTTCCTGATAGCGCATCTACTTTCTTTCCAACAGGCCCTGATCCTTTTTCTGTATCGAACTCCAAACCCCAGGATTTCTGTCCTTTGAAGGGATAGATGTTATTTCCCAACTAAACTCTGATGTTTGTGACTCTGTGCAGTAGTGTGGCCTGGCTCCCATTATAGGACTCTGTGTAGAAGATGGTGTTTCTTCGCAAGACAGACTTTTGGACCCACTTGGAGATTGTCAAAGCCCAAGGTGTACTGAGGGCACACTGGCAGTGAGCTCTAGTTCTGGAGAGAACAGGGTCCTGGGGTCCTGGATAAGGAAGACAACCCTTTTTTTTTTTTTTTTTTTTTTTTTTTTTGGTTTTTCGAGACAGGGTTTCTCTGTGTAGCTTTGCGCCTTTCCTGGGACTCACTTGGTAGCCCAGGCTGGCCTTGAACTCACAGAGATCCGCCTGGTTCTGCCTCCCGAGTGCTGGGATTAAAGGCGTGCACCACCACTGCCCGGCAAGGAAGACAACCCTTTTAACAGATATCTTGAGTAGGGACAGGAGCTGGCCTTGCCACCCCCACGAACAGGCTGTTGAAATCAAAGCAAAGGTCTTGGCTGGGCCTGGGGGTCCATGGCCTGACAGCTCATCTGCTAGAACTAAAGCCAATTGCCCTGTTCTGACCTCAGCCAAATCTCAGAGCCCCACCCCCATCTCCCCTTTGAACTTCTCCTTCCTATGTGCCCATTACTCCTTCTGCCACGCTGCCACTGTTCTATGGCCTTCTCCACACAGGCACATCTTGTCTTCTTGTGCAACTCTAAAGCTCACAGAGGGTGGTGAAGACTCCCTGCTAGCTCCTACAAGGACAAAGAAAGGATGACTGCACAGTGCATGCAGGAAAGGAGAAGGTCCTGCAGCGCACAGCATGGTGCTAGATGCAGAGCAGGCAGAGAGCCAGTGTTTGGGACTTCTCAGCAGCCTTTCACACCCTACAACCAAACAGACTCTGTGATAGAGATAGGTGGCAACCAACAGAGAGTCCAGGGCAAGACGGGAGTAAGCCTGGGGTGATGCTTAACCAGGCAGCTCTCAGGATCTCTGGTTAGGCAGTGTGGAGGCTGAAGGGGCTCAGGCCACAGCTGGGCTCTCAAACTCTGATTGAATTGAGTCATGAAGAAGGGAAAGCCTGAACCATGTTATTGCCATCTCACCTGAGCTCTTGAACAAAGCCTTGTGGGAGGCAGCTGCTCAACTATCCAAACAAAAATGAGGCTCCTACCCTCCCCCCAAACCCATTGTCCTCACAGCAAGGAATCCAGCCAGACCCAGCAGTTTTACAGCCCAAGAAAACTGTATGAAGTAGCACCATCTCTCTTGGCCCAGAGGAGAACCAGGGACTAGGGACCAGGGATGCTGGATCATCTCCCATCTTTTGCTCCTGATGGTAAGATCCATTCATCACCCCCACTCGCTCCCACATGCACCTTCACAAACTGCTGCTTGAGCCCTTTAAATGAACAGCAAGTCCTACTGTGAATTCAGAAGCCCAATAGTCCACCGTGGGCTCCAGCCCTCGTGTCTCATTTTCTAGGCTAAACCCATTTCTAAGGCTTCTCTGCTAATGTATTGAACAGGAGATGCCACAGTACCAGACCCTCCATACACACCACTGCCTTCACTTTTCGCTCTAGGCAGCAGTTGGCCTCCCGGGATACAGGCAAGGCAAATGCCTTCTCAGCAAGCAGAGCAGAATAAAGCCAAGGGTGAGCTACATGTCTATCTGCCTCTATGCCTGGGTCACACAGCTCTGGTCCTGGAGGCCTGCCAAACTGGCCTATTGTCTAGCACTGTTTGCCTTTAGGGCAATGGGTGCCCTAGAATAGAGGGATTGGAGTCTGGGTAAGGTAGGGTGAGAGCAGGCCTCAGAACCCGACCAGGGAGCCAGCCTTGGTGTCACGGGCCTGGGGATGATCTGTGAAGCCCGTGAACAAGGGTTACTGGAGTCAAGTGCCTGCCTTTCCTCCAGTCTTCAGGCTTGGAGAACCCAGATGACTACAGGACCGCCTCTAAAATCCCTTTGCCTTCCTCTCCCAGGCTCCTCTGTTCTGGGTCTCCTCTCAAGGCCATCCACTGCCCATCTCTGTGCATACCCCTTCACGGTAGGCATGATGCTGCAAGCCTGTCCGAAGGCACTTGGGACCCACTTCTGGAGCATGCAGAGCTGGTCTGCACACAAGCTACAGGTGGCTGTACAAAATTTTCTCTCCCGTCAAGATCACATCCTGTCATTTGTATTTGTCCCTCAAAGCCAGCTCCTCACTAAGGTCTCTCCAACCAGCTATAGCAGGAGACTTTCCTCACAGTCATGCATAGGGCTCAGCAGCTCCCTAACTCAGGGCAGCCTGAGGCCAGGCCTCCACCATCTACATGTGTGGGAGCCTAAGCAAGCTACTTCCCCTAGGCTGCCTCCTTAGCTGTGGTGTAGGGTGGGATCACCAGATCTCTAAGACCCTTCAGGCACTCAAGCACTTTAACCATCATTGTGAAGGTCTTGAACACTCAGAAGCAAAGGGGCAGATGTTGACATGAGAGACATACAACAAGGATGCATGCTTCTGGCTAGAGAATGGAAGCCACCAACTAATATATTATGTGCTGATACCAAGCTATGGAGTAGCTAACCACATTGTCTATTAGCACATTTTACTCTATGATGCGCATTTTCAAGTGTATTCCAGACTTTGTATACACATATTGCACTTTGGGATAGATACATGCTTTGAGGAATGCACACACTTTGGGACATATAGACACTTTAGGATATGTACATACTGCACACTTGGGATACCTACACTATGTGTGCAATGCACTTACATTCAGAGGAATGTCAGCACCACAACTCTGGAAAGTCTGGGGTTAAGAACACAGACTTTTCAACCAGATGAAATGGAATATAATGAACTTACACGTCTGTCGACCCCGAGTAAGCCAGTTGCCCTCTGCACTCAATTTCTTTACCTGTAAAATGGGAATAACAATAGGTCTTATCTCACAGTGTTCTAAAAAAGATTAAAGAAGGCAATGGCCAGAATAGGCACACAGTGGCTGGCATGGAAGGACACATGAATGGTAGTTTGTCACTGCCCAGAGGTTTGAAGATAATTTACAATGTGTGTGTGTTACGGATAAGGCCAGAGTTCAAAGACTTGAAAACTCAGACAAGAGGACCACTTAATCCATGTTTATTTCACATTTGATCTGTAAACTTTATTTTTTAAAAATCCACTGTCATAAGCAACAAGTGCTGACATTTAGGTTTTTTTTTTTCCGTGAAGTCAGAGCACAGGCCTTCCCTGTCGACCTAAAGTAAGTAGAAACCCTGCTGTAAACATGAAGTTCCTGCCCTACCCCACTCCCACTTTGGCAATTGTTAGTGACATGATCGCAGCCAGAAAAGCCAGGGGAAGGGAGCACTTTGAGACGGAAGAGCTCTTGGGGCTGGCCCTGTACAGTGTGGCAGCCCATTTGTCTTCCTATTGTTTACCTTGCGCAAATTGTATCAGGTTTGTTTCTTCCACATAATTTCCACTCCTGTGTAGCTAAAATCAGCAGCTAAAAGATTCCCCTTAGTCAGCATTTTCTGGGGGAGGGGCAGCACACAGACAAGATAGAAATATACATGTTCTTCTTCAAGCCTTGGCCCCAGAGGAGTGGGAACCACAAGGTCAGTTTTAAAGTGAGTTACTGGAGCAAGTGGTGCCCCAGAGGATAATGGCTTTATACACAGGGCTGATGCAAGGCAGAAGGTTCATTTCCTTCTGTCTTTGTCCATCGCTGTAATATTTACATAGGAAAAGGCAATTATGCTGTTAGGCACAGGGGGAAAAATGAACAGAAACCCTTTCCCTGTCAGAAAATCTCAAAGCAGGTCCGTGTCCAAGGGACAGTCACCAGTTACTGGTGAAAAGCACTGAGAGCCACATAATAACACTAGGAAAGGGCTTGCATTGCAAAGGAGCTTGGTCTGGATCAGGTACAGCCACTGCCTCTGAGTCTCTAACTGGAGAGCATCTCCACGGCCATGATTCCAACATCACACCAAGGCCAACATTGAGGACTTCAAAGTACGCTATCAAAAATAATGTATATTTACAGTGGGGGTTGGGAGGGCAGGGCTGCCCTGAATCGGTTTTTTTGTTTTGTTTTTTTTTTTTAAAGAAGGGATAGTGGTAATTAGCCAGGGCTAGGAATCTTGGTTCATTAACCCTTTGGCAGCCATGCCCTCTCTAGCACTGCACTTGCTCTGAAGAGTTTGGGAAAAGTCAGACTAGGGAGGAGGATGAGAATAGTATTAGGAAACAATACTGATCAGGGTAGCCCACCAGGAAAATGGCTATGGGTGGGGAGCAACCATAACAGCCACCAAAAGGCGCGTGTGTCCCTCTCAACCAGAACTTTACACATGTAACAAAAGGTGCCCTCAGAGACCAAGGGGCTCCCTCCGAGTTAGATGATAACACATAGAGCAGGTAGGTCCTGGGTTTCAGAGTGCTGGGGCTGCCTGAGTAGACGCGCCCCCTCGAAGCCCGGGGCCTGCATCGGACAAGCGTCTGTAAGCTGGGCACATCCCACTCGCTCACACGATGCGCTTTCTGTCCCCGCGGCAGAGGATCTTCTTGAAGGCGCGGCGGAAGTCGTGGTTGAAGATGGTGTAGATGACCGGGTTCAGCGAGCTGTTGCAGTAGCCGAACCAGAAGAAGAAGTTGAAGAGCTGGTATGGCACCGGGCAGCCGACCGCTATGAGTGTGTAGGTGAAAAAGAACGGGAACCAACACACCACGAACACGCCGATGACCACGGCCAGCACGAACGTGAAGCGCTTCTCGCGGTTCTGCCGCCCGCGCCAGCGTGACGCTTTGGCGCCCCCACCGCGCTCCTCTCCGGGCCCCGACCCCGAAGCCCCGGGCCCCGCAGCCCCCGGCCCGCGCCGCGGCAGACTGTCCCCGGGCTTCACCTGGCTCGCCCGGGTCTTGCCCTTGGCCCGGGGACCGCGCTCGGGTCTACGGGGCCCCGGGGGCCGCTCGGCGTGCTCGGACGACGAACTCTCCTCTAGGTCCAGCGCATCCCCATCGCGCGGCCCAGCCGGCGCGGGCTCCCCCGGGGCGCCGTTAAGCTGGGTGGGGAGAGGCTCGGCCTCGGTGCCCCCCGGGCCCGCGCCGCGTTCCGGGCCCAGGCCGTTGGGCCTGCGATCGGCGCCCCCAGGCGGCGCGGAACAGGCATCCGGACCCCGGCGGCTAGGCGGCACGCGGGTGCGACGCTTGGCGATCTGGTAGATGCGCACATAGACCAGGATCATGATGAGGCAAGGCGCGAAGAAGGAACCGATGGACGACGAGATGACATACCACTTCTGGTCGTTGATCTTGCAGCTCGGCTCGGCCGGCTGCTGCCCGCCGCCAGCGCCCTTCTTCTCTATGGAGATCAGTGGCGGGAAGGAGATGACGGCCGAGATGACCCACACGGTGACGATGATGGCCTTGATGCGGCGCGGCGTGCGCTTCAGGTTGTACTCGATGGCCTGCGTGATGGACCAGTAGCGGTCCAGGCTGATGGCGCACAGGTGCACTATGGACGACGTGCAGAAGAGCACGTCGAGCGCCAAGTAGATCTCGCACCACACCTTACCAAAGTACCAGTAGCCCATAACCTCGTTGGCCAAAGAAAACGGAATGACCAGAGTGGCCACCAGGATGTCCGCTGAGGCCAGGGACACCAGGAAGAGGTTTTGGGGCGCTTTGAGCGCACGACTGGTGAACACCGCAATAATAACCAGCACGTTGCCAAACACTGTGAACAGCATGAGCAGGCCAGCCAAGCACACCAGGGTCAGTGTCACCTGCAGGGAGTAAGGGGTGGCCCGGGTGCCGCCCCCGGGCGCCTCCGTCCCATTCCAGCTGCTGTTGCCGGCGTCCGGCTGCAGGGAGCCCATGGGCGCAAAGCTGCCCTCGGCCAGCGGCTGCTCCTGGCGGAACATGAACGCGGGCGCCGGTTCTCCTGGGCCTGCTGCCAGCTGTCTTCCGGCCCCGCGTCCGTGGGTCCTCCTCTTCCTCCGGCACGCGGATCGTCCCGCCGCGCCTCACATAGGGAGAGGGCCGCAGGGAGCCCGGGCCCAAGCTGGGGGACCTCTAGTGGTCCATGGACTGGCGCCAGCGAACTGGCACCGGCTGGTCCTTCCGACGCTCCGGGTGGGCGCCTTCTTTCTTCCAGCTCCCCAAACACAGCCAAGTTTTATTTCTACGCGGCAGGATAGAGTAGGGCCAGCTGGTGGTTAGAGATTTATTCTTCAAGAAAAGAGAAAAGAAATCATCAGTGGCCTGATGATTTGGAAAGATGTCAGAAAATTATACAAATATATTTAAATAGACATCTATACCTTGACTCTTGAGCTGAGCCAAAGCAGGAAGTCTTACCCCAAGAGGCAGCCGAGGGGTGTTGGCGAGGGCTCAGGATCCTAGGTCTGTCTTCTTATACCCTCGAAGCGATTTCCGACTCTGTCGCTGCCCCTCCGGCGCGATGGCGCGGGCTGGGCCGGACCTCGAGCGAGGGCGCGGACTCTGCCTTCTCTTGGAGAACCACGGGACTTCCAAAGTTGCACGCCTTGCTGGGGCTGGGACGCAGCGCACAGAGCTCGGGGGCGGCGGCGGCGGTGGGGTGAAGGGTGTGGGGGCCGCATGAAGGCGCCCCCCACTCCCTGTCCTCAGAGCCAAGCTAGGTGAGCGAGCCGCTCTCCAGGAGCCGCGGCCGAGGCAAGGGTGGCTGTTAACGGTGAGCTGGGTGGGCGCTGAGCGCAGCAGACCCGGTGGGGGTCCGAAGACCTTTTGAGTTTTAGCAGGACTCTGGGCTGAAGGCGCTGGGGCGGCTGGGCGGCGTGCACCGGCTGCTGGGCGTCTGCACAGAAGCGGGAGCCGCTGCTGCTCCGCCGCGCTACGGTGAACTGGTTTTATAGCCCCAGGATGAAGCCGGCGTTGCCGAGCAGCTAGCGTCAGCCCCCACGTGGGAAGCCGACCCTCCTCCGCCCTTCGCGCCTCCCCTCCTTAGGTCTAGAGCCTGCACTAGCGTCGGACCCCAGAGAACGCTGCCTCGCAGGCTGGACCAGCCTTTTGGAAAGGCGGGTACTGTGAACGAGGGGCTTTAAGAGAGAGCCTAAGGAGTGGGGAGCGGCCCCTGCTGGGAGTTGGCCGTGCAGCTCCGGGCGGGCCAGGAGATAGTAGCACCCAGGAAGGCACCGATCTAGCTGGGTTCTAGCAGGAAAGGGTGTCAGGGTGCTGGGACCCGAATTAGGAGACGCAGCGTTGCATAGGGTGTCGCTGGCGAAGCAGCCCCGCCCCAGGCCAAGCGCAGGTGCTCCTGGTGGCCGGGATGAAAGGGATCCTGGAGATAAGCATGTGCAGGTTCCTATGGAACCGCTGGAGCGGAATGGACAGCACCCACGCGTGAGCAGATCAGGCCCGAGTTATTCATTATTGAGAAGGAGAAGGCCACGTATCCTTGCAGCCATAGAGCTGTCTGCCGGACGCTCGCGGCTTGTGGTCTGTACCGCGCCCCCTTGAACGGCAGTGGGGAAGGGTCCTGGAGCCGTAGGCCCTGAGCCGAGACAGAACGAGAGAGCACTGACACCTGCTGGCCGCTGAACGTCACGGCTGGGAAGCGACTTGAGGCTCCAGGCTCCAGTCTCTAGTCCTTTCCTACATCTTCTCCTGTCTTGGGGCAATTCTGGATCTAAGCTCAAGGGAAAAAAGAAAAAAAAAATCCAAATTTTAAACTGCACTGTGTCATGTTGCAGAAATCTTCGGGTTGTATGTGTCTACCTCCGACGAGAGTGAGGCTCGAACCTTCTACAAATGTGAGGGAGTCCTGCGCCCTCCTCTCTGCTTGCCTTAAACTGCTGAGAACCGTTAAGTATTTGTTGAGGCACAGATATTTTATGAAGAACTAGAAAAGAGGAGCGCCACAACATCATAAGTAGACGTAAGCCTTAATCACACTGTTTTAATCAGTACATTTTGTGTGCATGTATTAAAGTATCACACTGCAGTCCACAAATGTACACAATTATTATGTGTTAATCAAAAAGGTTTCTTCTGTTTATGGAAATAGAAATGTTAACTTCCCTGGTTTGGTCATTACATGCTGTGCAGAATACCGAATTAACATGCAGCACCTCACATTTGTACAATTAAAATTAAGAGAAAAAAATTTAACTTAAACTCCACCCCACTTACATGTGCCTTCCCCTTCCACCCCCAACACACACACACACACACACACACACACACACACTACACACACACACACACACACACACACACACACACACACACCACCTGCACAACATCTTTCAGTGGGGGCAGGGTGCTAGCCAAGAAGAACGGCTATTCGAATGCTCTCTCTGGTAAGAACGGTAGGAGCGCGGGAATTGATCAAGGTTTCCAAGCATGCTGGATATCAGTAGCACCAGATTCACTGTGCCATCTGCACTCCAGATGAGCAGCAGGCAGATCGGGAAGTCCAGGAGAGCAGGAAATGTCAACAGAGTGGACATAAGACCTAAAGAAACAGCTGTCGTATACTTCAGAGATCACTAAATCAAATGCCGTATGCTGTCATTCAAGCCCAGGTTCCAGGCTCTGAGAGGAACCCCCACCCCCACCCCCCACCCCCGCCCCCCCGGACATCAAGGTGCAGGCTCAGGTCTGGCTGAGGACTGCGGACTGAATGAATGACCTTGACCCTCAGTTCCAACTCCAGCTGATCTTTTCATCTCTGTCTAGCAACAGGGTATTTGAGGATGCTACTAAGTACTTCTCGGATGTCTCCTCTGAATTCAGCACCTTTACTCCCCAATCTTTCCGCAGGTAGAGAGCCTCTGCTCCTGTCTTTGTACCAAGACTTCCTTAGACTCTCCAGAACACCAAGGAGGCTGACTATGGCCTCTCTGTTGAGACTCTTGTCCCCTGTCTTCTCCTAAGTCTCTGCTCTGAGTCTCTTGGCAGGAGCAGGACATTGCCAGTGTGTTCATTTGGAAATGTGACTGAAAGTGGTCAGCAGGAAGTGTCCCCATTATGTGAAGATTTTTGTAAAGCCAATGAAAGCCTCAAAGAATGAGCTCAGGATGAGAACCGCCGTCTGGATCTCCGACATGCAGACTTCTAGAGTGGTATCACAGACCCCAAAGGAACTGAGGCGGATCACACAGTGGGAGTTGTCATTGGTGGCCTGAGGGAGATCCATCCTTGGACATACCCATGAATGTCTATAAATATTAGTAAAAAAAAAAAATACCAAAATACCACTTCTTAGCACTGGCCCAGGCCAGGCAAAACACTAAGCAGTTTATAAGCTGTATATTATTTTGTCTGATCATTTGCTTATATAAATGGGGAAAATAAAGGTCAGAAAGGCTAAGTACATTGCCAGCCATTTATTGGACTGTTTCCTGAATGTAAGCCCGAGAATTTTTCCACCACCACTCCACCAACTGAGGCTCTGCCCTCAGGACACTGGCAAAGGCTCATCCAGAGAATGTTGAGCCATGGATGTTGCTCAGGGTGGAGTCCTTAACTAGCGTGTATGAAGCCTTGGGTTCCATACTCAATACCACTGCATAAACTGAGTGGGGTGGTGCATTCCTGCACCCCAGCACTTGGGAGATGGGAGCATGATGGTCACAAGCCAAAGGTCATCCTCTGTTACATAATGAGTGTGACCCTGTCACAAGGAAGGAAAGGTGTTGGGAAGTTACAAGTGCCCTTCTGTCCTGGGAGATCTCCTCCAGTTGTGACTACTACAGTAGGGCACATGTGGGGCACAGTGTGTGACTCACTCGAATCCTATGCTCGCTGTTCTGGCATAGCATGGGCACACTCCATGGAGACTGAACAGTTCTCATGCTCTGAGAGAGAGCATGAAGAGATGAGACTCCCTCCTCTCCTGGGTATCAGTGTTAACTTGAATAATACACACACACACACACACACACACACACACACACACACACACACACACACAGTGGACTCATCTTTTATTCCTACAGCATCCCTGAAGAGGGATGCTTACAAATCACATTTCTGGGAGTGAGGATATCTAGTTTGCATAAGGCCTTGGGTTCCATGCCCAGGACCACTAAATATTTTGGAACAGACCCCTTGAGAATGTCAATTCACTAGGATCAAGGTGGGGTCTTAGTACTTGCATTTTTAACATAAATAATTCAATAAATACTACAGAGAGCACACACAAACCATTTTCTAAATGCTCATGAGATGAATGAAAGAATGAATTTCACATCTGACTGTGCTGCCAACAAGACAGCAGGCCCACAAGTAGACAACCAAAATGTCTAGGATTTCAGTCCCAAATCAGGATATAGCTACACTATGAACTAATTCATGGATATAGATAGGCATAAGACCCTCCCATTCTTATTTTTTTCTCAAAGGACGTTTGTTGGCAGAGGCACTCTAATTGTGTCAGTTAGACGATTTGCCAAAAAGTGAATGCTGCTTAAGCTAAACAACGTTTGTCCTTGACTTACATCTGGTTCCAGTGTCAAACAAGACCCAAGTGTGCCCTGGCCTCTCAGCCCCACTGTTACAGCTTGAATACAAAATGTCCCTCACAGACTTAGGTGTCAACAGTTTGATCCCAAGCTGGTAGCATTATTTTGGGAGGTTGTGGCAACATAAAGAGGTGAGAGACTTAGCTGAAGGAAGGGCGTCACTGGGGGCATACCTTTTGCTGTGCTTAGAACTTGCATGTCTCCCGGAGACCCAGCCATGTGTTTGAACGCTTGGCTCCAACGGACAGCACTGTTTAGAAGTTGTGGGTCCTTTAGGAGGTGGAGCTTCACTGGAGGAAGTGAGTCATTAAGGTGGGCCTTAGGGTTTCACATCCGGGCCTGACTTTCTGTTCACTGTGTTCCTTGATTGTGGGAAATGTGACCAGGACAGCAGCCTCCTGCTCCTGTCACCCACCATAAGGGACTGTATTCCATCAAACTATATGCCAGCATAAACCCTTTCTTCCTTATATTGCTTCTTGTCACAACAAGAAAAGTAACTAACATGCCTTTGAAGAGTTTGCCTAGTCCCTGTCCCTCCTGCTACCATGACATTCTTTCCTTCAAGGGCGTGGGGCTAACCATGGACCAAACCCCCTGACCTGTGAGCCTAATTGGTTTATGCCAGGTATCTGGTTACATCAGTGAAAAGTAATTAATCTGCTTACCTTGATGGTAACTTCAATTTAACAGAAATGGAGAGCTGAGTCAGGGAGAACATTATTATTATTACTGTTGTTATTTTGGTTTGGGGTTTTTGTTTGTTGTTTTAGAAGATGTGATTAAGGAAAAAAACAGCATACCTATTAGCATGTACTCCTAGGCAGTGTCAAAACTCTCTCAAATAGAAATCTGCCACATTTTCATACAAACACAAGCCACCCTCCACCCCCCAGAGAGATGGTTCTTAAACACAATACTCTCGCCCATCTGAACATGATGAGAAGGTGTGGAACACAATGTTCCCAACTACTGCTCATGCTGTGCACACAGCTGGAGCCACAAACATCTGTCAACTCAGAGCCTTTGCTGATGAGACAGGAGAGAGGGCTCACTAGAAGAAAATACTGCTTCTCTGGACTTTTACCTAACTCCTCCATCTTACTTTTCCTATGCTGAAGCTTGTGGGCATGCTATGATGACTGTGAGTTGACAGGAGCCAGAAGGAAAGGGCCTCTTCCAGGCGTGTTGTTTGGAACTGTCTTCACCACCCCTCATGTCTCACACTGATGCCAGATCTCTGTGGCTGTTCACAAACTCCACTAAGCCCTGCCACTGCCTTTGTCTCTTCCTAGAGCATTAGCCTGCCATGTGCTGGCCTGGAAACTCAAGCCAGGTGTTTTCCTTTCTGTGAAAGCCTCCAGCCAAGGCCAGAATCAACTGATCTTGATGTCAGTAGCAACTCCACTCTGAGGATGCCAAGGA